CCGGGTGCAGTGGCTCATGCCTGTAATCCTTGCACTTTGGAAGGCCAAGGTGGGTGGATCACCTAACGTCAGGGGTTCGAGACTAGCCTGGCCAACATGGTGAAACCCTGTCTCTACTAAAAATACAAAAATTAGCCAGGCGTGGTGGCGGCACATGCCTGTAATCCCAGCTACCCAAGAGGCTGAGGCAAGAGAATCTCTTAAAACTGGGAGGCGGAGATTCCAGTGAGCGAAGCTTGAGCCACTGCATTCCAGCCTGGGCAGCAGAGTAAGACTCTGTCTCAAAAAAAAAAAAAAAAAAGAAAAGAAAAGAAAAAAGAATGCGAGGGCCACAAGCAGGAGATGCTGATAAGGATGGATTATTCCAAAGAAGGGAAGCATGGGCTGAGCATGGAGGAACAGAAAACCAGAGAGTATTCAGACAGCATGTGAGTTTAGTGTTAATATGTGAGAAGATCATGTAAGAAAAGGAACTATGAGAAATAAAGGTGTACAGGTCAAGGCTTATCATAAGAACCTGTATGCCATAAAAAGAGCTATGGATTTTACTCTGTACAATGCCAGTGTATTTAAATGTCTTAAGTATTTTCTTCTTTTTAAGTAATATTCAGTTCATCAAAGTTAATAATGCAAAGGCCTATCTTACTTTAAGTACTTAAAGTTATGTTATATGACTTGTCATTTTATTTATACATCTAGTAATTTGTATTTAACTTAGAATTGTTTTCAGGGGGACAGCTCACATGCCTCAAACTAAATTCTTTCAAATCAGTAGTTCTGTTTATAAAGGTGGTTAATGAAACTTCCTTCGATGTTTCATATTGCATGTATATATTAACATATTTGATTTTATTTTTAAACATTCCAAATACCTGAATGAACACATTTAATCACCCCACTAAACAAAATCCTCCCAAGAATTTAAATGGCTCTCATAAATCTATTAAATTGAACCACAACCAGTACCCTTAAATATCCAATAGCATTTGCAATTAGATTTTTCTTATACTTTTTAAGAAGTATATTTTTAAAAAATTAAGCATATAAAAGGCAGGAATAATAGTATAACGAGCTTCCATGTTCTCTTCACCAACTTCAACAACCATAAACTCATGGCCAATCTTGTTTTATCTATACCCCCACCCACTTGCCTCTTATATTATTTTGAAACTAATACAAAACATCATATAATTTCAACTACAAATATTTCAGTAGGTATTCCTAGAAAAATAGATTCTGTGTATTAATATAAAATATCAAGTCAGTGTTCTGATTTCCAATGATCTCTTAAAACGTGTGTGTGTTTTAAGTTATTTGAATAAGAATCCAAATTATTCACATCTTTGTTGGCATATATGTTTATATATGTTTTATGTTTTGTTATTCTTTGAGACAGTCTTGCTCTGTCATCCAGGCTGGAGTACAGTGGTACAATCTTGGTTCACTGCCTCCTCCATCTCCTGGATTCAGTAGATTCTCGTGCCTCAGCCTCCCTGGTAGCTGAGATTACAGGCATCTGCCACCGCACTCGGCTAATTTTTGTATTTTTAGTAGAGACAGGGTATCGCCATGTTGGCCGGGCTGGTCTCAAACTCCTGACCTCAGATGATTCACTCACCTCAGCCTCCCAAAATGCTGGGATTACAGGCATGAGCCACCACACCAGGCCCATTATTCTCTTTTAAGATATGGGTTCACTCCTCATGTCCTTTTTTTAAAATTATTTGCAATTTATTTGTTGAGGAAATCAAGTTGTTTGTGGATACTATAGTTCCCCATCATCTAGACTTTGCTGATTACTCTCTATAATATAGCTATGTGTTCTTCTCTCCTCTGTATTTCCTATAAATTGACAGTGGGAGGTAGAGGTGGCTTGATCAAATTTAGTTATTTTATATTTTTGGTGTATTCTTTTATCAGGAACTGATAATGTTTGCTTGACTCTCCTTTTTTGATGTGAGCAGCCATTGACAATACCTAGACTCCTTAAGGTTTCAACTAAAATTTAGAAAGTCTAAACCACAAATTTTAAATTGATGTGGCAAGTCTAATTGAATATTCACTAATGTAACAAATCTCTTAAATATTACAAATGCTTAAAAAATTTAAATGTATATATATTGTCCCAATGGTTATAAAACTTATTCCACAAATTGTTTTTACCAAGAGTTTAGCTTATTCCATCATGTCTGTACTTAATTCTAAATGTTCCAAGGATGAAAAAGACTCTCTAAAGGAAACAGGCATCTTGTCATGACCAATTTAATGAGTTAATTAACAGGGCCTTTTACTTACTCAAATAGAAAGCTAAGCATATATAAGTTAAATTTTTAATTTTCTGTTTTTAAAGTGACTTTATTAGATTAACAGACTCTACCTATGTTTACCATCTCAGGTGGAGACTGAGACAGATATCCATGACAATTCTTCCTGAGTTACAGGTGTATCCATTTTATAGTTTTAGTGATTAAAAGGCACTTCCAGCCCACATTCTTCAAATGGGGTTAGTTTTGCAACCAGCATCTCTTCTTCAAGTAATTATGTTTCCTAAGTCTTTAAGGAGTTTGACTATTGGACATGAGAGTAATATAATCATATTTTTGTGTTAGAAAGATGGCAAAAGTTGGAGAAGGGACTCTCAGGATAGGGAAGAGAAGGAGTAATTCCGATTACTAGAACACTGACCAGATGGCTACTGCCAAAGTTGATTCTAGAGATAACATAATCCGATTTTTGTGTCTAGCGGGAGAGGGGAAAATGGAAGAGGGAAGTGAATTAGTATGGGGAACTTAATGATTGATTTGACATGAGATGGAAGATGAGTGAAAAACAACGAATGAGTTGTGGTGCGATGGATATGTGAATTGTGGTGCCATCCAACAAGAAAAGAAACCTAATTGGGAGAGCAGGTTTAGGCTGGGCTCAAAGGGAGAAACCTCAGTTTCTGAGATGTTAATATAGAACTGGCTGTAGGACACCCACTCAAAAGAGAAACCTGAGCTAGAGATTTCAACATGGAATTTGCCAACACTAAGGTCACATATAAAGCTGTGGAGGTATAGAAAATCATTTATTAAAAACTGCAAAGTGAAAAAAGAAAGAACACAACATAACATCATCACTTAAAAAGAAAGTCAAAAGAAAATAAACCACAAAGAAAATTGTGGAGTAGTGGCCAGAGAGACAAGAAGTGAGCCAGGAGCTGTTTGTCATGGAAACAAACAAAGAAGACTCAAAGAGGGCAAAATGGCCAATACCGTCAATGGCCAGAAAGCAGTCGAGTAAGATGCAGTCTGAGACGCTTCAGTGGATTTGGTAGCTAATATTTTTAAGAATAGTTTCAGGGAAGAAGTGGCAATAGAGGAAAGATTGCAGTAGGGGAAGAAATGCATGGAAGGAGAGGAAGTCGAGTCAGAATAAAGACAACTTTTTCTTAGCTTGGCTGGTTATAGGAGGAATATCTTATGGTAATGTGAAGAATTCACAGAGGTAAAGTGAAGTGCTTGTGTCTTATGGATGACAGTAACTTGGGCTGAGAGAGAAAACAAAGCATGAGAGATTTAAGGGCAAAGAGTGAAGTAAGAAGAATGTAAGTAATAAAGCAACACATGGAAGAAAGTGGGTAATTGAAGGAGTAAAATTACTGAGAATTCAGATGAAATTCAGAACACAGGCGCAGAGAGTAGGGAGAAGGTAAGGACAGGTGTGTGTAACTGCAGATGAGTTTGTGGGTTAAGGAAATGTATTTTCTCAATAGAGTTCACACCTAACGACCTGTTTCATCAGTGAAATAAGAAACAAGGTCATCTGATTATAGGGAAAAGAGAGGAATGGCAGACTGAAGAAAGCAGTAAACATTTTTAATAGGCACAGAGAAGGACAATGCAAGAGAAGGCTGACTACAAAGAAAGAGTGATGAGATTGTTGAACAGCAGAGGCAGATACAGCTGAGATTGAATATCAATTGTTTGTAATGTCCAGAATCAGTAAAATTGGCAGCAATTTTCTCCAGCTGTGTTTAGGAATCAACCTGCAAGGTATAGAAAATATAAATGGTTATATACATAATTAGGGATTTGTGGGGCCCAGATATTGATAATGCTATTAAGAGCAGTTGGAGTGAAGCCATTGAAATGAAGCACCTTGGAGGACAGGGCGATAAAAATAAAGCCAAGAAGAAACCATCTGGAGAAAAGGAAGGAGTCAGGGATTGGAACTATATAATTCCCTCTCTCTCTCTCTCTCTTTTTTTTTTTTTTTTTTTGGTGAGACAGAATCTTGCCCTGTTGCACAGGCTGGAGTGCAGTGGCTCGATCTCAACTCACTGCAACCCCCACCTCCCAGGCTCAAGTGATTCTCCCACCTCAGCCTCCTGAGTAGCTGAGATTACAGGTGTACAATACCTTGCCAAGCTAATTTTTTGTATTAGGTCGGTGCAAAAGTAATTGTGGCTTTTACCATTCATTTTATGGCAAAAACCATAATTACTTTTGCACCAATCTAATATTTTTAGGAGAGAGGGTGTTTTGCCACATTGGCCAGAATGGTCTGGAACTCCTGCCCTCAAGTGATTCATCTGCCTCAGCTTCTTCCCAAACTGCTGGGATTACAGGCATGAGCCACCGTGTCCAGCCCTAGATCTAATTCTCTTTTGTATATGTACCAAAGAACCAATCAAATGCCCTCATAATTTCAGAATTGAAGTGTTAATTTACTGTCAATTTGGTGAAAAGCATATTACCCCCCAGAAGCAATGGATTAATTGTATGAGCCTACTTTGAACGAATGGTGCTATGCTCAAGTTTCCCAGTTCTCCATTTTTTTCACAAAAGCAGCATAAATATAAGGCTAAAGCCTATGCTAGTGATGTCTGAAGCCTTAAATCGGAGCAAATGTTCAAGAGAAAAGAATAACTCACAAAATAATTCTTTTTCCCTTTTTCATTGTAAGGTGAACACCTACTTGTTCCATGTTCACTGTTTCCTCTTTCTTGTTTTCAGAAGTCCTGTCAATGAAGATAATCAAGATGGTGTCATGCACTCTGATGGTAAATGGCAAAACATATTTTATTTATTTGTAAAATCAGGTACAGAAGTTTGAGCTAATCATTTTTATTTTATTTATTTATTTATTTTGAGACAGAGTCTTGCTCCATCACCAGGCACCAGGCTGGAGTGCAGTGGAGCAATCTCGGCTCACTGCAACCTCCGCCTCCCAGGTTCAAGCAATTCTT